TAACCTGAAAAATGGGCCCTCCCTATGCAGTAGCTGAAAGGTTTCAAGGAGCTAAGAAAAGTAAATTCAGATAATAAGCATTCACATCTTCTATTCTAGAAGGGCATCCTGTTTATTACGGAAACTCAGATCGGGTGGAAAGCAAAGCCATCAGTCAGGTCATTAAACTCACGGACACAAGACAGTCCATGTCCATGTCTGATGACTTCAGAATCCCATGGCCCAGTGGCTGTGATGGTTCATTCTGGAAACTGCTGGAAGGCGAATGGAAAGGAGAGAACCCAGCAGTAGCCTAAGTTCAGCCTCTTACAAGCTGGGTGGCCTTAAACGAACCTCTTCCCCATTGCTAGCCTCAAATTTGCACTCTGGTGAGTGGTCTGACACACACCGTGCCAGGTGGTTGCAAGCAAAGTAGCCCCATTGAGCACAGTCTGTGGTGTGACAGTGTCTTAACCACAATCACTGTGGGCGGGAGTTTCCAGCACTGTCTTCTGGGGGGCGCTCTGACCAAGTGAATAGCAACAATCACCTGAGTGTGGTATTTCCCCTTTGGCCTGTTCTGTACCTTGCAGCTGCTGTCACAGACAAGGCGACCAGAAGTCACTCCTCTTGGGAAGGTTTGCACAAGCCCAGCAGCAAGCCACCATGTGTAAGAGAAAATCCTGCAGGCCCCTGGCATAGGTCACAGATTCCACTCAAATCCCTCCCTGGCCAGCCTGGACTCATTCAAACTCCAAATGCTCCTGGACAGGACACAGACACAGGGCCCCAGGGCCTGTATTCAGGGATTCCTATGAATAAGACTCTCAGTGCTGGGCAGAGAGAAGGGGACCAGACAGAACAATATCGGGAGACACAGTCACCAGCTTCCTAATTTTGCAGAAGGCTGATTCGAGCTTTTTCTTTAATAAGTGCTTCAGAAATGCTTTCATGCTATCACACAACTGTGCGGAGAAAAGCACTAATATTTTATACTTGACAACTGTGAATCATAATTCCCACCTTTCTCTTCGGAGGAGGACAACATTCACCTGAGGTTCACGGCTGGACCATGAATTTGCTCAGTGTCTGTGTATATAGTTTAGGATAACGGAGGGGAACTCACTGAACAAAATTACTTCTGTGCATTTTTCTTTTTGCTATCAAGCCTGAGAATTCAACTTGTTTGGTCAGTTCACAGCCCATTTCCTAACCCCCTCGGGGCTACATTCAAAGATTCAAAAACTACTTAGGGTTAGCAGCCCCAGGGAGCCACCTACCTCCCGTTAGCAATGGAAAAATGTAAGCCCCAGAGCAAGAACTGTAAGTCTGAAGATGCCCTTTTGCAGGGCATGCGTCAGCCCTTAAAACTCTATGACAAATCCTCCATGGATGTGGTTGTCTCCTCCAAAGTCTGTCCAAGCTTTCCTCAAGTTCCCAAAGGGTTCCAAGAGAAATCTCCTAAGAAATACCAGCCTTCAGGATCTCCTAGTGGCTGGAGCACTTTCAAGATGTCTGTAATTAGAATTGGAAAACTTCAGATTGCAGAAAACTCCAGGAGGCCTGCAGTCACTGACCAGATTTCTACCTGGTCCCTTAGAAGAATCCATCCCTCGGCTTTTCCACATGAGAAATGCCAGTGCTGGAAGATCCTAGGGCTGCAGGACACAACTTGACGTCAGAAAGAAATGCACAGAACTCCGCCTGTTGCCGGAAGGGCTGCTTAAAATCATTTCCACTGCTTTGCTTGGAGGAGTTAAAGACAGACACTACCCTCATTTCCTTCTCTTTCTTGCATTTCAGATAGCCAAATGTTAAGTTTCACAATAATGGCCCTTGGAGGGATTTGAACTCCGAAGTTCAAGCAAAAACACAGTACTTCTGTAAGGATGCATAAGAAGCTCGAAAGATACAAAACCGAATCTCTCTGAGTCCTCATCACAAATCATCAAATCACCGCAGCAACTTAAGTCAGGTGGTGTCACCTACATCTCTGAACAAATGTAGCTGATGAAATTAATTACGACTGTTACAAAAATGGGTTTTAATATAATCCTAAAAGGTGGATCAAAAATATGTTTTCTAGTCTATCTAGCTCCTCCCTACCTTTGTTGTCAAAGTCTAATCTTCGCCAAAGAGCAAGGGAAAAAGAAGTGCCGAATCACTTGGCACTAAACTTTTAGCATCACATAAAATGGCATATTTCATTAAAAGCAACTAGGTTTTTTTCCCCCTTTTTCTTAAAAAGCACCTCATTTATAGTTGAAGAATTTGTATATATCCAGAGTGTCCTATCTTGGCCACAATCTCATAAATTTTCAATCTAATTATCAGATTCCTTAAATCCAAAATGAATTTATATGGGGTTGCTTACAGGAGTAGATTAAACTGAAGCCTTTTCAGAGGTACTTGCTAATGAAGAAGAGATACAGATGAAAAGTGATCATGTTTTTATAAGCCATTACCGAAGGAGCACCCCCAAAGAAACCTAAAACCTAAGCCACAAAAGAATAAAACAGAGCTCAAAGTACAAATCAAAGTCTCAGAGTAAGGAGCCGGGGGTCTGACTTCAACCTCCCCTCTCCTCAGTAAAGCCCAGGAGAGGAGCACTACATCTGGAGGCTCTGCATCTGCACACATGTGACTAACTCCTCGAAAGCCTGCGAGTGAAATGTCACAATCGTGGCTTCCTCCAGAGCGCAACATGCGCTCGCTTGCTAGGTTCGCCGGTTCCCTCCACACCCCAGAGTTCCCGCTTCGTCTTCGAGTGTCTGAAACCCAACACTACAAGGCAATCATGTTTGCAAACACCATTTCTCCAGGATGAAAACCCTGAGACTCTAATAGGCCTATCAAGCCAGTAACCGAGATATATCTGCCCTAGTAAGCAAGCTTAGAGCTGGCAGGTGTGCAAATGTAAGGAAAATCCTGAGGTGACCCTGCTGGAGAAATCCCTGCTTAGCAGGAAGAGTAAACTAGCCTCCCTTCCAAATGCCACTTGTTTCAAGGAGACGCACCCTAAGGTTCTGGTCCCTGAGGGGTCTTCACACATAAATCAAAACAAGGGCGCAAGGGTTAGACTTCTTGGCCCAATCACAAAGAACTCCAGAATTAATTAGATTTAATTAAGAAAGATGCAACTTGCAAGGAAACCAAGCCCACCTTTCTTCACTGCTGAGTTCTAAACTGAAAGTTTGCATTCAGCAGAAAATGTGAAGATTTAATATTTACTTTGGGAATACGAGGGCTGGGAAGATAATGATGGTTATATTGGATTGTGGGTGCTTCCAAAATATATAAATCAGGTTTGCTAAGCGGAAATTGCAGCTCCAGCTCTTTGAGGAGAAAGAAAGGACACCACGATCTCTATATAAAATTTGATGAGGTTGCTTTGGAAGACACTGAAAGGTGGGGCTTCATCTGCAGTTACTCCACCGTACACCAGACAAAGAAATTCCTCAAAGGCTGTAATCACACTTTTCCTACGATCACCCACAGGAATAGGTCAATGTAAATGCCGTGTAAACAAAACAGCTCATTACTAACTATAGTTTAAATTTCTTTTGAGAAAACATTTTGAGCCACTGCAACTGTACCCCACATTCACACAGAACTACCCCTGGGTAAGAGTGAGCTACAGATTTAGATCCTAGCCTCAGGCTTTTCTTATGCTTAAACGCAAAAGGTGCTAGCGCTTGGGGTTGAGCAGTCTGAGCGCCGGATACTTCCTTGTTCGCTCTCTGTAAGTCGAGGAGGACTTTAAATTCCCTCCCCACAGAGAGGCCGGAGTGTCTGAGGAAATCCACAGACCAAGTCCCCACCATGCCCCTTCCTGTTCCAATCAGGTTTGCAAAGCATTTCCCCTCCTCAGTTTCATGAATCAATTGCAAAATGTGCCCCCTCGGCCAGTTCCTCTCCAACTCAGCTGAGAGGTTCCCTTCCTTCCCTGGGTAGCACAAGGCTGCTCTGGTTTTTAACTGGCGTACGGTGGAAATGCACTGTAGGAATTCACTAACTCTTTCACAGCCAGAGAGAAGTGAAAGTCTGGGGCACCCACCTCATCTATTAGGAAACTGACCTGTCAAGCTCAGGGGGAAGCAGATTTGTGGGTTCTAGCTTCCACCACAAAACCAGACTCAGTTACAATCACCCAGAAGGAAAAGGAGTGAAAAGGGCTACAAAGTAACCAGCTCAGTTACTTAGCAACTGGACAAACCTCCCTTCCCCAACAAGGCTAAAGAGGCACCTCAGGCCCATTCAGAGAGTAACAGTCTAGGATTTACATGCAAATAGACAAAGACCAGGGGGAAAGGAAATCCAAATTAGCAAGCCTGAGTGTACAGCAGTGGGCCTGAGGCCCAGGTTTTCAAGTTTCTCCTGGGAAGGAGACAGGTTTTAGGAATGAATGAATGAACGGCTACAGACCCTAACAAGCTCACAGTCTCGCTTTAGAAAAGTCAAAGCCACAGACGAAGGAGACAGGCACACAAGTTTGGTAGCTACCATGAAAACACTCCCCAGCTAATGTGAAATGAAGGCTTACAGAAAGATGAAAATTAGAAGCTGGGAAGCTCCAGGGAGCACAGGTACTCCAGCTTAGGAGAAAGCAAACAAAGCCCCCCCAGCTGGGGAAGAGGGATGCAGACTGCGGGGAGGTCAGGGTCTGTCCAGTCTGCAGACGCCCTCTCCAACAGCCACGTCCAGGACTGAAGCGCTGTCTCCAAACTCCGAGGAGCTTCCTTCCCCCTCCCTGCTCAGGAGGAGGGCGCCTGAAGTTTTTCTGGAGGGGAGACACCATCCCCTACTTGGCTGGGTGCAGGGCTGGATTTCCAGTCTGCCTGGGGAGCTCAAACTGTCCCCTGCTTCCAGCCACACACTGAACAGGGCTGCTCAGGCCCGGAAGAGGAAGGCAAAAAAGAGAGGGTTCTTTGGTCCCCATGCCCCACATCCAACCCCGACCTCACACCTGGGCCAAGACAGCAAGGCCCAGGGCTGACCTGGGCGCCCAGCCCAGCACTTACTTCTCATACTCGGCGTTGTCTCTGTCGCAGCGAGAATCCTTGTGCTTCTGCCAGTCTTTGCCATGCTTGCAGGTGGTGAGGAGCAAGACGTCCTCTCCGTTGTGGACATGATATAAGGCATTCCTGGTGTCTGACCCTATCCCTGTCAGGTACCTCTTCCCCTTGAATACCAGCATGTACTTCCTGAGAGGGGGGATGGTGTTAAACTTCAAAAACCCCCTCTCCCCTCCTGTCCTGGGATGATCCTTAGAAAAGAGGGGAATAGAAACATCAAAGTTGGGTCGGAAGTTTTCAGTACTGATGCTGGCTTTGGCCAGCATTGCCTGGCCGATGTCAAACCCCACGTCCTCGGTGTAGTCAGGCCAAGTGCCGGAATATAAATTAAAAATTAAATGATTCCTACCATTGTTCCACAAGTGGAGACTCTGCACTTTGGATCTCAAATTGTGCACGTACTGAGGTGACAACTGGTCTCTGTCTAAAGTATCCAGACTCAGGACAAAGAGGCACGCCTGGCTGGGGTCCGAGGTGTAGAACCTGGAGCCCTCGATGGCCGCTAGAATGTTTTGGTAACTTTCGGCGATTTTCTCCCCTTTCTGCTGCGGGTAGACGTAGACTTTGAAGCCGTTTTTCTTGCAAAGGGTGAAATCGAAGCAGGACTCCATGCGGCACTTCTTGCCTTTGTAGATGCTGGAGTTGGCGTCTCGCTTCTGCCGGGGGGACATGTGCACGCTGGAGTCCTCGCTCTCCGATTGCTCCCAGGGAAGGAAGGGGCGCAGAGCGTCCGGGAAGCGGGGCCAGAACCGATCCGGGCCGGGCTGGTGCAAGCCATCGCGACTGCTGCGCTCGTCTCTCCGGCTGTGGCTCCTCGATGCCCTAAACTGCAAGCCTCCGAAATAAAACAAAAGGGCGAGACAGGAGCCGGCAGAGAGCAGGATGAAATAGCGTTTTTTGGCCTGCATGTGTCCGGCCTGGGTCGAGAGGATCGTAAGTGAACGCGAGGGCCCCCCAAGTTCCCCGAGCCACACTTTCAGCTCCAGTCCGCCATCTTCCCGCCTGCAAAGACTTCAAACTCTGCGCTCGCCCCTTCGCCGCGCGCCGATCCCCCAGCCGCGGGCTGATCCAGCGCATGTGGGCGATTTCCTCAACTTTCTCCCCTCCGGTCTCTCATCGTCGGGTGGCACCAGGCGCGGGGTGGACGGAGGGGCGGAGGGAGAGCCGGGCTGCTGAGAATCTCGCACCCCGGGCAGGGCGGGCAGGCGGCGGACTGTAATTTTCTTGCATGCAACAAGAAGACGGAGGCAAAGAAAGAGAGCGGGGAAGAGAAGAAAGAAGGAGAAGGGGCAGAAGGAGGAGGAATAAAAAATTAAAAAGCTCCCGATCGCCCGCTCCGCGGCCAGAGCCGGGCTCGCCTCGCCTCTCCGATGGCTCCCGGCGGCGTGGAGGAAGCAGCAGCCCCGGGAAGCAACTCCAACTCCTGCACGCTGCCGCGCCGCCCGCGGTTCCAACAAGTCCGCCGCGCCGGGGTCAGTGCATCCCGCAGCCGGCGCGCCGCAACCTCACAAATCCCTGCATCGCTCTCCCTCCGCGGCTGCAGCGGCTCCCAGCCTCCGGCGGGCGG